CAGGTTTCTGTATTTACAGGTCAAAATTCATGGATTCGATGCGAAGCTGCGGCGCCAGCAAAATCGTTTTGGTCCTACGCGGCGCAAAATCTCGAAACCAGCGTTGTCGTCAATGTGCTAAAGATCAGACTACGAGGAATGTGACCTTATAGGGATGGAATACGCTCACCGGATAATAAGCTTGAGCTTTTATATCTCCAAGACAATTCTTGAGCAAAAAAATGGCATATGATTGCATAACTTTCGAGAAATTCTCGAAAATATTATATCAGCTTGATCACGAAAAGAGTATCCTGCAGAGGTCTTTCGAAATACCTCTGTCGACTCAAAACTCAACCAACTTCTCATTTGCTGCCTTTGTTGTCATGTGACGCGTTTGATAACATTTTGCGGAACTAGTGATATTATTAAATGTTGCATGGGAAAATACGAGCGGTAAAACTTTATTGAATTCACAGTAGCAACAGTGACCAATAAAAGTGATGAACCATGTTAGAAAATGTTGCCAAATTGCATGCTACAAAAACAATTTTACCCACCTAATATTGTTACGACCTTGTAGAAATGTTGAAGAGACCAGTACAATCATCAGGTAGATACTACACGTAAATTCTGAGTAGGACGTATTAAAATAAAAAGAGAATATGAGAGATTGATCTCGTTGATCCATGACTTTATTAAGCGATACGACTTCTAGCGAGAGGTGGCAAATCAGAGATTACATATGAAAGTTGGGGGTCAGAGGAGTTGGGGTAGGGCAGTTGCTATAGTTGATTTTGGATCCGGCGGACGAGATTCCACAACAGTTTCGCACTAGAGTTAACGCTGCTTCCATCAATGCCACAGGGGCTAGAGAACACATGCAGGTCAAGGATTGCAGCTGGGAATTTGACGCGAAGGAGAGAATTCAGAGACGCGAAAAATGGGTAGTCCCTTTGCTAGTTTGCTTCCAGAACCTTTCGTAGAGAAGGCCCCTACGCATCGTTTCACAGCCTTCCAAGCTCCTTTTCTTCAACGAGTTCACTTTATCCGAAGAATCAAATACGTATCCATACCCCCCGTGTACATGGCGATACTTTTTTGAACCTTTGTTCAGGAATGGCTGGTATATCTTCGAAATGTCTAGTGGAGGAAATAGGAAACGCTGTACCTAAAGAGCTACAGGAGTTTTGTAGTCGGGGTGGTGCAGCAAATTCTTGAAAGACTTTCGAAAACTGTTCGTCTTTTCCGTTGAATCACGCCTCAACATCGTCTCCTTCGGATCCTTTTGACTCCATCCCAAGCATCTCTTCACGAATCGGCGATACGGACTCACATAGTAAATCGTTACGATCGGATCAACGAGAGTAGCTGGAAATAGAAAACTTCCTCAGAAGAACAGAGTAGAGTTTAATTTTCTACAATGTATCGAGTGCTGGCATTGGGAATAATCGTAAGATTCTGTAAATGTGGCGAGGGTAAAGCTGCAGTCATGCAGCACAAAGGCAGTATCCCTTAGCCTATGCCCGCATTTATTGTTGCAAAACTTCCAAAAAATCATGACCCTTCCGACAAAATTTCTATCTATTCGAAGATAATTTCAGAGATGAGGCAAGCTCGGGCCTAGCCGATTGATGTAGTCAGTACCCTGGATTGATGTGTGTGACACACCACTGTAGAGATGGCGCCACTTTCGTACATCGAAATGCATCGCTGGGACGCTAATCGCGGAGGACTTGGATCGAATCCACCGAAGCTATCAGGAACCAGTCACTCTTCGAACTTTGACCGCCTCGCAATGTTGAGCTGCTGTGCGCTCTATATCTCAAAAAAGACCCCTTCGCAACTCATATTGTCTCTCATCTCCGAGCCTGCCATTTAAATGGAAGGATCAATTGGTCAGTTCAACTATTTGAAATGAAATTCACACTCAAATACGCGTCTCGAGACGC